AATTCATAGCTGTGGGCTTAGGTTATCGCACAAATGTTCACAGGTATTATATGTCAATTTATAAGTTATTTATTCCTTATTTCTTAGAGAAGAAATCAGAAATGTTGGCACCAGATAGAAGAAAATCAGAGGGAGACAGAAACATGTAGCTTTTCCTTCTTGTGATGATGAGCAGAGGTTGTCTTACGTTTGAATGAGCTTTCCTTTCATGACTTGTTTCAATCTTTTGCCTCTAGGAGGTATGTAAAAAATGCAAGAGACACGCCTTGGCTGGGGTTAAAGCCAACAGTATCCATTTTCTTATGATAGGAAGAAAAAAGGCTACAGCCATTGTAGCTTCATGTAAGTCTCTTTCCACTTACAAGACAGGAATCTTACAGGGCTCAACCTAAATATTCTGCTCTCATGTTTAGGAGTCATAAACAAACATTCTAGGCTTTTGGATTCTTTTGGATCAGTCTCCCCGGCTCTTAAAGAGACTATACAAGAACTGATGGAAAACAGTCCACTCCAATGTGGGGATCAGGGTTGTCAACCTCACTGTGTAGTCCAAAATCTGCATATAACTGTTGACTCTCCCAAAACATAACTAGTTCATAACTACTCTGTCTACTATTGACTGGAAGCCTTATCAACAACATCAACAGGCGATTAACACATATTTTGTATGTTATTTGTATTATATACTGTATTCTTACAATGAAGTAAGCTAGAGAAGAGAAAATGTCATTAAGAAAATCATAAGGAAAACACATTTACAGAACTGCACTATATTTATAAAAAAAAAAATCTGTGTATAAGCAGACCCGTGTAGTTCTCATCTGTGTCCTTCAAGGGTCAACTATATTTGATATCTCCCTAGCTTCGAGAACTCAGAAAATTCATCTGAGTGGGAAAAAAAGGTCCATTTTTAATCATCACTGACAGGGCCATAATTAGGTCAGGGTGACCAGAATTCTGTCACAGGACACCCAAATTTAGAGAGCACAAATTTAAGGGGAAAAAAAAACTGTTTAAGGCAGTGTAAAATTTTAAGCTTCTCAGCAAATTTCCACACCAAGTCTCCAGTCACAAGGCTACTAGCTTGACTCCACAGACAGGCCAGCCTCCCTGGTAGAAGACAGAAATAGATAGTGCTGTAACGCCAAGGTCAAGGACAGAGACTTTTCTGACCCTTACGTACTCTGAGAGCTTGGGAGTAGGGTTTTCTCCTCCTTTCCACTTGCCTCATCTCTCCCTGGCACACAGACCCAAGTTGCTGGTCATATTTAGTTGGTTACTACAGACTTTGCTAGAGGCTTGACCTAGGTTCCAGGTGCCTTGTAGTTGTTTACTCACTTCCTGATGTGTGCTCACTAAAAGTCATCATCTGAGAGTTGACCTCCATGCTGGGAAGATGAACAAATAAAAAGCATAGTATTGCTCTCAGTCCTTATGCCTCCGCATATTTGTCCTCGGGTTCTCACTAAAGTCTTTACAGCTCTTGACCCCTGGAACTCTATAAAGGGAGCAGATATTATTACCTGGTTCTGGTGGGAACGTTTTTGTACAACACAATCAGAATTCCCTAAAGTTTTTGGTGGACTGTGACATTTTTTCCTCTTAGGTCCCTCCTAACAAGGATTTTTCAGTTAAAAATTTCACAAAGCCACTACTTTTAAACATAAAAATTAAAATTATAGATGGCTGATTTCTCAAAGAAATAGAAAGCTGTATATAATACATCATAAAAACTGTGATAGTTGCTGACCAGAGAAATGTTCCTGATATCTTTTTCTATTTGGGAATCATCGCTAACACTTCTGTAAAGCTTCTGACTAATCTAAGAATATTTTTGTCAGATTCGGAATCCTGGGATTTCTTCCATTATTTTCCCTGTAGATTGTGAAGCTATGTTGCCCATTGCTTCAGGTACAAGTTACATATAACCTAAACGAAGTTTGTAGCCAAGAGAAGGACATGAGACATCACAAAGCCAAACAGGTATTGTCAGAATAGCTACCATTTGGGGTCATTAGGAATATTGTTAAAATAAAAGTGAACTATACAGAAACAAAATCCCATGGGCACTTGTTAACTTCATGTGTTGGTTGCAGCTGAGATGCACAGTGCTATACAAACTGCTGGTCAAATACTCTACTTAAAGCATATGTATCCTTTGTCCTCTTCCACTTAAAAATCTTTCATATAAAAAATCACTTTTCTATCTTAGAGAATGACTTAATCCTTCACCTATCTTAATTTTACTCTAGTGTAATTAAAATTAAACAGAGGTCACCCTTATTCATGATCCTTAGCATCAGTGCAATTCTCAAACTGGGGCTGATGGAGCTGATAAAAGGTAAAAATCGTATCAGGTACCCATGTTTATCGTATAAACCCAGGTACCCACGGTTTATTGTATAAATCTATCCCTCTTTTCCTCCCATGGGGCAAGCTAATTTTTTGTCAATAAAAAGCAATTTAAAAATGAGACCGATGTTAGAGGGTGATGCCCTCTCTTGGCAGATGCATTGAAAGCAGTGAAATATTTTCTTACTGAGTGTATCTACCATAACCTGAATATCTTCTGAGCTAATCTTAAGGGTCAGTAGTATTAAAATGTAATTGACCAAATTTGGCAAAGTATGAGGCCCAATTCCAGATAAACAGAATAAAATAATAGGCGCTTAGAATTCAACTTCTTAGTAGTAAGAAGTCTACTCTGCAAGATAATTCTGGAGAGATCCTCCCTTAGGAACACACATATTTCAATAAGGATAGATATGCATAACTTTATGCTACAACACACACGTGTACACACACATACAAGGACAGTCACACTCCTAGTTTAGATACATCTATATAACCATAAAAAAGGGAATGTGTATGGCATATCTATGAGTCAATATAAAATAATGCCAACTGCAATCTACTCTAAGAAACCATTCTCCTTCAATTGTAGTCGTATTTCAGATGATGTGAGCATGTATAGCTATTCTTAAGTGAAGACAGTTTGGAGCAATCAAAGCATTCTTTTGGTCTTATCCAGGGTTTCTCAACCTTGACACTATTGATAGTTTAGACTGGGTAATTCTTCGCTGTGGGGGGCTGACCTCTCCACTGTACGATGTTTGGCAGGATCCCTGGCCTCTGTCCACTAGATGACAGTAGCGCCCTCCAAATCACGACAATCAAAAGTGTCTCTACACACTGCCAAATGTCACCAGACAAGGGAGGGGACTCACCCCAGTTGAGAAGTACTGGTCTAATTAAACATTATCATCTTCGGCCATTTCTGTTCTGCCTTTCAGAAGCCACAAGTTTATAGTCTAAAAATTGCACAGTTTATTGTATAAATCTATCCCAGAAATCATAACAAGATGTTAAATTCCCAAATAGCAGCTTCAGTGGAAATGTGAGGCACAGGCTTTAATGGGGCTCTTTAGTTACATTTTAACAACTTTATCAGTAAAAGTACTAATTTGTGTGACACATGTTTTTCATTAGCCCTTTTACATCTTTGATGAAGTGTATAAGTAAAAATGTATTCCTTTTTAAGGTAATTATTAAATAATAACAATGGCTCTAAAAAGGAAATACGTTTAGGGTTTCACATCTAGTGCGTATTTAACACAGCTCACTCATAGTACGTTCTCATTATATTTTTGCTGCCATATAGGATCAAAATAACAAGTCAGTTCTGTACAGAATCCATACTCTCAAATTCTTAGCTTTCCAAGCATCAGTTTAATCTGTGTTATGTCAACCAGTCATTTTTTAACTGCTGATTTCTATAATAACCTCAAAATTTAATCTTACTTAGAAATTGCCTATTCTGGTGGTGATACAGAATTTTTCCAAGGGCTTTGTCGTCTCAATGTCTTTTAAATGAACCCACCAAAAACTGCCAACTGTTTTAATTTATATGGTAGACTAAGTTTCTACCATTAAAAATGAAGCAGAACTTTTTGACATAATTTACCTACATTTGGTAACATTTAAAAGAATAAAAATAGTGATTTCTAGTGTCTCCTTTTAGATTAAGGCATTCCAAAGCACAAAGACAGTGAGAGGCTTCCTTTACTTTCCTTGCACATGTAAACACATTTAACTGCTTATAATCTGTCAGTAGAGTTTGTTCGCAGTTTGTCAAAGCTTATGTAAAAAGCTTTCTAAGTAGCCTTACTTGCTACTACCAAGGGAATCAATATCTATGAATTCACATCCCTTTACTTGTATGAACCATGCATGTGTGACCATGCTCAACACAGGGTTCATTCATGAAATATTAGGCAGAGTCAGAATGAGTCAAACAATTCTCATTTTGGGTAAGCCTTTGGGGGTCGTGCTGGTGTGAGCATTACGAGCAGCAACCAATAAGCTGGCTTGTCTTATATCAAGGTGTAGTGGGTAGTGGGTAGTTCACTCACCCGTAGCTCTTCAACAATGGTTACAGAATTTTGCCATACTCAGTCATGTAGGTTCTGCCTTCGGAGTTGCATGGGAATGAGCTTTGTTTAACTGTGTGTATGTGTGAGTGTGTGTGTGTACATGAGTCTGTGTTTTATTTGTGTGCATGTATCTTGGAGTGAATATACCATGGTAGATAGAAAAGGGATGTGCCTTCTAGTCTGTTTCCAGACTAAAACATCATTGTGCTTTACTTTATCTCTGAGTACTAAATTATGAAGACAATTATGCCAATTTGCAAATAAATAATGCACTCACATTTGTAGTCTTTTTACACTAAAATAACATAATACAAACAGGCTTAAATAATGCAGATCTAAAATTGAGTTTATGCCCTCAATTCTGAGAAGGAGGGAAAGTGGCTCATGTTATCCAGACTATGAATCAACACAGTCTAAATTCAACAATGCTTCACATCATCTAAGTAGACCTGATAAAAGGGGAGGAAGCAATTCTTAACATTTTTTAAATGGAAGGAGACTAGAGTTAACAAAGACTTGGTTCAACAAATCACAATAATTAGCTGTAGTGTTTTGTATCTTTATTACTCAGTAAGGGATTCTTTTTTTTTTTTTTTTTTTTTAGCTACCTCATCACCCACTCACTGCCCCTAAATAGGGCAAAAATAAATAATCATTTTTTAAAAACCTATGGTTCTAAGATATAAGATAGGTTTTTTTTTTTTTCCTAAAGCCATATTGTGTTGGTAATCAGTAACACTTTGCGCTGGCATTTCCTTTATTCTACCTTGATTAATTCTTCACCTTCAACAACCAGAGTTCTATCTTGTTTGTGAACTGCATCTTCTAGATTTGAACCACCTGAATGTGCTTTACCAACATCATCTCATCAGCATGTTACTGGTTGCAAATCCACAATGTGCTACAAAATATTTCAGAGGATGTTTCATTTCTTATTTGTCCTCCAAGCCAACATCCAAAGTAGAGTTTCTCTTGGGCTTTTATAGTTGTTTTTGTTTTGTTTTGTTTTTCCAAGTGGCGCATGTGAATCCATGAAATGACTTGACCATTTCCTTTTGGAGTCATGTAGAAAACCTAACAAAAATACCCTGTCTCGGTTCTTTCTTTTTCCATGGTCCCTAGGAAGTGGGCTGGAGTGAAGTGTCTTCACATGGGTCTAGCTGCATTCTCAGTGCACCGATTTTATGAAGATACCAGAGCTGGAGAAATTCCTCTGGCATGGCATGGAAGCCAGAGAAGGGCAAGACGTTATCATAGTAGTGGTGGCTGATGGGCTGCTCATGCATATTCACAGAGAAGGGCCAGAAACCATAGATAGCTACCTCTTCACAGAGACCCAGAGCCGCACTCACCAGAAAGAGTCCTGTGGACAGGCGCTTGGCATGGATTCCCCTACTTTTCCAGAACTTTCCAATGCTACGCAGAAAGTTGGGGTTGGCAAAGAGCACTGTTTGATTGGCACCAACATCTGACAGTGTGTAATAAACCCGGAGAGATGGCTCTGTTCCCGTCTTCATAGAAAAGGCAGGCATGTAGATATAACTGTGGTTATAGATCTTCATGTTGTCCACAAATGTCTTTCTGGACCACAGCAGATTCTGAAACCTATTATAGAGAAGAAGAGGCTCAGTTAAACCCTGAGAAAAGGAACTCATCAAACCCCACTCTATTGTTTGTCTGATGGCCCTGCTAGTTCACATTTATCTCGGGGGTGGGGGGTGGGTGGGGAGAACATGAAAACCGCTTCACTTATATTTAAAATCTTCCTTGAACTTACCAATTATTTCTCATCAAGTAGCTTGGCTTTCCCCAACCCCAACAATCTTAAATTCAGCTTAAGATTCCTTAATGGAATTCCCTTTGAACTAAAATGCACTGTACATTTTGTTCTCCCAGAATTATTTGCCTGGAATGTAAAAATCTCATGAATTCACAAAGGTTCTTGGTTGTTGGATAGGATTCTTAAAAAATATTTTTTAATTTATTCATCTGAGACAGAGAGCTAGCGAGTGAGAGCATGAGCAGGGGGGAGTGGCAGAGCGAGAGGGAGAAGCAGGCTCTCCACTGAGCAGGGAGCCTGATGCGGGACTCGATCCCAGGACCCTGGGATCATGACCTGAGCTGAAGGCAGATGCTTAACCCACTGAGCCACCCAGGCATCCCACTGAATAGGATTTTGATAAAAACTACTTCTGCAGTCTGATATAAGCACAGGACTGGTTTCTTCATCTGCAAATCAAAGGAACCACCTGGAAGATACTTCTTCCCGTTCAAATTCTATGATCCTAGAAGTATTCCGATTAACTGATACTATATTATAACTAGAATATTACATGGAAAAAGGAGCACTTGTTACTATTATAAAATGATGCTGACAGAGTTGCCCGTATTGCTTGCTCCAAAGAACTCTACTTTCCTCTGTTCTTTCCATTTGGATTCCATAAAAAGAGGATCTCCGGTTCAAGTGTATTCAACTAAAATTGATGATGTACATCCTATGTGTCAGGCACTGGGGAATTAAAAATTTAATGACCCAATTTCTGTTCTTAAGAAATTCAGGTCCAACTGTGGAAACAAAAATATAAATGAGTACAACATAATGTTCTAAATGCAACAGTTGATATCTGTATAAAGTACTGTGGGATACAGATGAAAAAATAATCCTGCCTTAGAGGAGTGGAGTCTGAGAAAGCTTCAGAGAGGGGATGGCATTTAAATACAGCTCCTGTGGGGCAACAACAGGAAGTACAGCAACAAAATAAGAAACACTTTGGTCACAGGTTGGGGTGCACAGTGTCCTGAAACAATCATGAAGAAGAGCCTGTTTTCCTGGGCCACGGGAGGCAGTGGCTGAAGATAAGACATGTTGCAAAAGACCTCAAGTGTCTCTAATCTGTTCGTGGACTTCAGCCTGTGGTGATGGGGAAACTCCACAGCCGCCGTGCGTACTCACAGCACTTAATATTTACCTTACAGATATTTCCTCATTTGCTTAGTGGTCAGTCTGTGTCAAAAAAGGTCACTGGCGATCTGGGGAAGGAAGAGGCTGGTAGCCTGGAGACCAGTGAGGAGGCTGCTACAGACCAAGTATAAAAAGAGAAAAAAGACAATGAACTACACTCGGCTCTTTCAACTTTTGTTCTCTTTCACACAGGGCCGTCACCGGTGTCAGGTTATGTGCAGGTGGAGCAGAGGCCCCTAAGAATGCAATGGAGCCACAACTCACAGAGGAAAGTCTGGCCTGACACGTTGGCAGCGTTCATCATAAATATGTGAAACCAAAACTCTGAATGAACAAATCCACAGGGTTTTGTGTAGCAAGCAGTGTGATTAACTCTGCCTGCCAAGAAAGGTGTGTTCCTTGAGCCCCAAAGAAGGAAAATTGCTCCAGGTTTCCTCATGTCCTTGACTCAGCAGCCTGCTTTAGCAATTTTCTTTGGGCTGCAACAAATAAAGATAGTGGTAACAGGGTTTGTAAGTGGAATCACTTTATCCTAGAAGAAGCCATGGAAGCACATTTACCCATATTCCGGGGCTGGACCAGCCTCGCCAACACAAACTCCTACCTCTCAACTCCACTAGCCCACGCTTAATAATTCTATTCTCCCTGTTGCCCACCCATATCTTCTGCTGTCTTCCTAAAACATAAATGCTTTCCCAGTCATGTAAACACACCCTGCAGGTAACCTCCTACTTCTTTTGAACCATGGTTCTCAAACTCTAGTTAGAATATCCTGATATTACAGCTTCCTGGGTTCCAATGAGTAATCCAGCTGACTTTGTATCCAGCACTCCCTGGTGATTCTTGTGCAGGGGTCCTTTGACAGACTTATTTAGAAGATCAAAGCCATCCATGTAAGCTGTCTAGCTCTCTGCCATCTATCCCTCAACATCTCTTTCTTTACATCTTCTAATTTTATCCTTGTTGCAATTCTAACAAGAAGAAGTGCTCCCTCTTCCCCTGTGTCTTGGAACAAACCATTTCATATTTTCTAAAAAATTCATGTTCTAAAGTGGATCTCACTTCTTTAAAACATTTAACCTCAGGGTGCCTGGGTGGCTCAGTGATCCCAGGGTCCTGGGATCGAGGCCTGCACTGGGCTCCCTGCTCAGTGGGGAGTCTGCTTCTCCTTCTCCCTCTGCCGCTCCCCTACTCTTGCTTGTGTTCTCTCTCTCTCGCAAAAATAAATAAATCTTTCTAAAAACACAAACATTTAACCTCTCCCTCTCTACTGAATTATTCCTTTTTGTCTTCTAAGCACAGTTAGAACTTAGTATGAGGCAATTCTTCATATGCTCATACCATTCCCCGAGCTACATTCTAGTTTTTTCATTTCACTATCAACATTCTAGAGCAATTAGTCTACTTCTATCTGTTCCCTTTCTTACTTCCATTTCCTCCTTATTGCTGTGCAGAATGGTTCCTATTGCACAGCACTCTGCTGGTTAACGGAACTTATCCTTATTTTTGTAGTGGACTACATACTAATGAGAATTACAGACAGCTCCAATAAAATCAGAGAAATTGATTTTATGTTCCCTGTCTTAAAGCTGACTGATTATTCTTGAAGAGGGCAGTCTTTCTTCCTTGAGTTTTAACTTTGAAAAGGAACACACATCTTGGATTTACTATAGCCTTAATTTTTTGATACTGTTAAAGAACCAGCCTATATATAAAATTTTATTATTTTTACCTACCCCATTTTTCAACAAATAACATTATTTAAGAACTCAAATCAATTCAATGCTTATTTATGGCACACCTAATATATTTACTGTTACTCTGATCAAGAGCCTAATAGGGGTGGTTTGAATTTTACTAAATTATTACAAAATTCAACTAGAATTGTAAAAGAGTAGTGCTCCAGCTTACCTCTCCAGCCTCATTCTCAGATACTCTCTATATCTTCACCCAATACTCCAGCCATCCCTGTATGTGCATCTGTCCTCATCTTTTGGCATTGATAGTTTCTTTTTGGCTTATCCATTCATTGCCCTGGTGAAGTTCTGCCTAAACATCAAGACTCAAGCTTCTCCTTCTAAAGCTTATTCCTTCCTTTCAACTTAAGCTTTCAAAGGAGTCTTCTTGGAACTTCTCAGGATGAACTAACTCAACCCTCCAAGACTGTGTACTCCTTGAAGACAAGGGACAAGTTTTATTTGTCTTTTAATTTTTACAACTTAGCTCAGAATAGTTGTATACTATACAAATGGAAAACTATTAAACTGAAAAAAGAAGAAAATGAAGTGAGATCAGCAAGTGAAATTATTAAAAATAGAAATGATTAATATATAATGAATATGGGCATGAAATAGAAAAATATATCAATAAAAATAGCAGAAAGCACAGAAATATAGCACACTTCACAAATAAATTTCATACATGATAATAAAGAGAAAAATCATTGAAATTTTAAACAGTTACATTCAAGCTAACTATTTAACAATATGAAAATTTGAGGGGGAACAGATTTATATTTGACAAGAAAATTTCAAAATAATTTCAAGATAAGATATTTAAAGTCTATATTACAAGAAAAACTAAAGAAAACAACTGTGTGAATTTATCAGCCACTTGCAAATTATCTTTCTATAAAGGAAAATATTGACAAAATTGATTACATCAAGATGCAAAATTCCATTGCCACAAAAATAAGATAACTAAAATAAAAAGGGAATGACTCTGAAAAGTATTTTCAACAAATATAAAAATAGAAGCTCAATATTGATAACATTACAGAGTGTAAATATATTGATATAATGATATGAAAATGGACAAAAACACAGATAATGGACAAAAACACAGATGCAAGTAATAAAAAGTGCTAAATGTTCAGCTTCAGAATGCCAGTCAAGATGCAAACTGAATAGAATAAAGAAAGATAAGGGTCCAGTTCTCCCCTCTTCCAGCAAATTCCTAGAAATGAAAGAAAAAATATTTTTAAAGATCTACATCCATCCTGAAGAAAAGAAAAGAAGGGAAACCCTCAATGAATCCCCAAATCTAAGTTACCTCTGAAAAAGAGAATGCTTACAGAAAGAAACCAGAATATAAGCTTATCTGTTGAGCACTGCTCTAAGATGTAGCAGTGCCCCATGCCTAAAGGCAGAAGATACTGAGAAGTTGGGTGTCTTGGAACAATCAACAAGGTGATTGTTTACATTATGGGGCAGGAGAGACATTCAGGTGGACTGAACCCTAAAATCCTGCACTGATCAATTATCACTGTGGGTAGCAGGGAGAGAATATCAGCCTCTATGGAGGAACAGTGACTATGTGCCCAGAGCTGGCCCAGCCCGAGGGGAAACTGAAATTCTTTTCAACTTGTGCAATATTGGTAGCCAAGCTTATAGTTCCCAAGTAGAATACTGACACTGGCCCAAGAGAAAAGATACGATACAGATAATGACACTGGGGAGTCACCCAAAAGAAAGCCACCTTCCTACCTTCTCAACCAAAAGTAAAGCCTACCCGTGACAGGTCTAGTCTTCAGAGCTTCCAGTTACTAAACAAGAACAGAGAGCCAAGATCAGAAGATATTGAAGGAAAGCCTCCACCATGAGAGTCAGAGAACAAAGTGGAAGAATAAAAGAACTCAGAGGAAACCAATGTTATTCAAGGGCCAGAAGAAAACTCTTAAAATCTATAATTAGCTTGTTTAGAAATATTAATAGTTGACTGCATC